ATAGTTTTGAACAGCAGCGGTAATACTGTCGGAGAGGTCTGGGAGTTCTCTGTGACACACGCGTTTTGGTGAGTGACACACGTCTGTGAGAGAATGTTTGTCACAAATATTGGTATATCAAACCAAGCTATCCTACGTATCAACAGATCCATATATGTTGTGCTCATTGAACTGCTGATAGTTGGGAAGGCCATGAGTGATTAGTCAGTACAACCTGGCTTCGTCCTAGCCGTCCGAATCCACTAATAAACAAGTCTTACGAAATGCAATGAACGGTTCGTTTTCAGAATTTAAAATAATATTTTTTATCATTGGTTCTGTCCGAAACATAACGTAAATAGCAAAGAGAGGAGAATCAATATCGAAGGTGTTTGTTACGGAATATGTTCGACCTAAAAAGGATAAATTTGTATTTTATAGATGAAAAGATGAAAAAAATGAAATCGTACCTTCGGAGATTTTCTTTTTGATGCCAAAAGCTGGCCATAGGAGAGGACACTGTTGAATCATGACGATTTGGCAAAATCGATGAACTGGGGATGAATCAGGTGTTTCCAAAACCTTTGGTAAAGAAGATTGCTGTCTACGAATACTCTTTCTTGTCTCTACTACAAAAAAGTCTGTGTATTAACGGGAATGATTAATCTTATAGTGAAATACCATTTTTTCTTTGATTTTGCTGCTTTTCGTGTTTACCTTCAGAATTTTCTCTCTGTATATTTTTATCTTTGAACACGCTTTATACTTGTTTCGGTGTTGACACAGCATTGGACCAACTGTCAAGTTTTATACTTAAAAAAATATTAGGTGGAGACATTGGTCAATTTGATATGAGATCATTATTAGTGCCGCTACTACTAAAAGGAATTATATTCTTTAAAAAATCCTTACCGCGAAAAGGATCTGCAAACTTTGAAGATGGAAAATCAGGTGAATTACCTGACAAAGTTGCATTAGATATATTATTTAAAACACTGTTGGTTTTTGTCTCTAAATTAGTAGAAATGTAAGATGGCTTCTCGGACAGATTCGGTTTTGCTACAGGACTGATTGGTTTGATGCTAATCGCCTTTTATTACGTTTATCAATTCGACTGAAATATGTACTTCGTTGTTTCTTTTGAGCACTCTTCTTTCCCCAAGGCTGTTCTACATTCATATCTTTGGGTTTTCCCCTACGATTTTTTGTATTTTGATTAACCCTGATTTGTCTGCTTTCAGTTGAGTCTTAACACTTTGATAGAGGTGATACAATCACCTCTGATGGTCGCAGGTTTGTTTTTCTTTCAAAAGTTGAATCTTTTAGGATACCAAATAGCATTCTACTTGAGCATTCGTTAGACGACCTTCTTCATAATTACGAATGTCAACGGGTGTTCAACTCAGAAAGCTGAGAAAACTGGCGAATGCCTTAAATATTGAAGGGTTGATGAATAATTGCTTTCCTGCCGTGCATATTCTCATCTACTTCATCTGAAGGATCAATCGAGTCCTCTTCCACTTCTAAATCACAAGAACTAATCTTTTCAGGAGTACTTTCATCGTCATATGGTGCTTCTAAAAACATCTGAAGAATATTCTCCGCATCAGTAGCTTGCGGGTTACCGAACATGTGCAAAACACGTTTTAAAAATTTAAATGATATTTCAAATTCAACACAGTTGATGAACAAGGCAATTCATTATATGAGAACAGCAGAAGCGCAAAAACGATCTAGAACGGATTTCTTTTGCACCATATTTTCGTAAGATAACTTTCCAATATCGTTTCAAATAACCATGAATATCTTAATCAACAGAGTATCTGCGATTGTTCAAAAACTCAACATTGTATTTCTGATTACCCTCCTCCCTCACTTTAACTGTTCCTCCAGTATATACACTGCATTCTGCTTTACTCGATTTTGTCTTCGAGAAGAGAATGCAACGAGAGATTTTGCTTGGATATCAGGAGTACACAGCAGGTTCTCGCTGTATGATGTTAACTAACATGAGATCGGACTGGAATATATCGCAAAGATAAAAAGAAAACTTTTCCGCATATTTATTTTAGCTATGCTTGATTGATTTTCTTCTGCCGATTCTCTTCATGGCTCATATGAACTACTTAAAATAGCGAAGTTGACCTCTATAATGTATGTGTGAAATGTTAATACGCAGAGGTGACAATATTGTCTGCTACCAATCACCCAAGCAGAAAAACTTTCTCAAGCACGCGTGTAAACACTAGAAAGTAGCTTTTTCTGAGCCTTTTAACGCGTGTCGAAAAAAGTGGTGGTGTAAACACCATGTACTCACGATTTTTCAGCGTGTACGCGCCAAATTTCTTGGAATTTAATATTTCTAGATGTGCAAACGCCAAAACTCCAGCGTTATGGCCGTGTAAACGCACATTCGATCCGACACGCGTTTAAACCATCACACACCACAACTTTCTTGCGTTTCCCCACACCATTATAATTCGCACTATTTTAATTGAAATTGGTAATCCGCGTTAACGCTTCGAACATGGGCAAAAACAGCGTTTTTCTAACGTACTATTTCTGTTTTTATTAATTTCTCAAATTCAAGCGTTAAAACGACCTATGTGATGGAAAAGTCACCATGTTGAAATTAAATTTTAGATGTACAGTTAGGTTAAGAAGAATTCAAATTCTGTTTTTTGATGTATACTTTCACTGTGTAGTATTATAGATTCAACAAGTAGACATCGACCTTAGCAAGGAAGAATTGCAAGCGAATACTTTTCGGTTATATATCTTGAACCGTCAAAATGCTAATCCTGATAGAAGCTGTAGAAACTTTCGTCTGCAAAGATCAAGTTCGTATGTTCGATCCTAGCTTCGTGCAAGGATTGATTTTGTGTTTTGATAGTTTAAGTTTCAGAATGATATAATGGGAATTTATATTCTCGATTTCGTTCTGGTTCAAGATTAAAGCTTAAACCAAACCAACTTTGTTTTATTTAAGTACTTTCTACTGTATTAGGGAACTGAAAAAAATGAAACAGGTTGTTTTCTTTTTTGTAAGCAAGTTTGACAATGATGTGTTCGATATCATGTATGTATTATAGCCAGTTGAGGTCGATCCGTTGTTTGTCCCCAAAATATGAATGGACTGACGACGCATCTTTTCTTAAATGTAAGAGTATCGAGGCGCGAGTATGCGTATCTTATTGATGACAAGACGATATTCGTTGTTTGAAAAGCATACAATTGCTACTATAAAACCACAACTAATGTCATTATGTCCGCTTTCAAAGAATAAACAAAAATCGCAATTTTGGGTAAGAGAATTTGTATCATACACTGGGAACCGCACGTTATTTTTCCAATATGTTGCGTGAATATAAAATGGTAGATAGTAGATGGTTTTCAAATGTGTCATCACAACATGATTGTTAGGTAACTCAAACTGAGAACCAAGGCGAATCGAAATGCCTCGATTTGTAGATGTTTGCTTTGGAGTGCTTGCCGTTTTGAAGAAAACGGACGGCGTATAAATAGTTTAAGAGACTTGCTGAAATTAGCATTATTAAGATCTGTTGTAGCACCTAGAATGTTAATATTATTGATTAATTCCGAAACTATTAAATTTGGTTCATTGACAAATTGAACAATTGAGCCTAGAGTAATGAAGGTCAAGTAATTTGTCTAATAAAAAGAATTAACTCTGTGTCCTTGAAACATACATATTACACTCTCAGAATTGAACGTGGAAGAATTCTGAAGAGGATTAAAATCTTTGAGTGATTCTGGCACATGTACCATGGTGTAGATCACAGATGTCATTGATCTCTCCTTGAAAGAAATATATTTTAGAAATCCACAATTTTACAGATAAGTTAGAATATTCCCTCGTAAAATAGCAAAGCTGACATTATACTGGCAATCGAATTCGTACTTCCACAATTCTCTCATTGTCCGACGTTTTTCGGCCGGGAAAGGCGTCTTCTCTGCGGATTACTGAGGTAAAATTCACGAATCAGGACACCGGAATCATTGAGCCGGACTATAACAAAACTGCAGTAAATAATAGAGGATTTCGGTTCGGTGTCGAGGATTGCACTACTATAAGAGTAAATTAATCTGATAGGTGATGACAAGAGTGCTTGTTTAGTAATTTAACAGTTTCTAGCTGAAATATAGTTCAGATAAAACATTCTAGTGTGGCTCAAATTTCAATTTGTTCTGTGATATGAATATATCTACAAGGTGATATACTCACCGGATACAATAATGAAAACAAACGATCAAATTCATCAAGTATGCATCGTTGGTTCTTTCTTCTCTCGGCAGGCTCAAGATTCTCATCATTTTCTAATTCATTTAACTGTTCTCGTCGTTGCAGATCTTGTCGAAATTCATGTGTTGCAGATGGAATTGAGGTACGTATCGCTCTCCTCTTATCGTTCATTTTAAAACTTAAATTCTGATGTAAAACACGGACATAAACTAAAGGAAAAACAATTACTAGTTAATATAAGAGAACATAGGAAAACTCATGATAAATGTTTTGTAATTTTGCTTCTGATATATTTGATATTGAGATACGTTTTGTTCGACTGCCAATAGTTGGATATAAAATACAAAAAAATTTAAGCGCCGATTTTTGCGGTGTCCGTGCAGCAACCGTAATAAAATTGGTGCTATCGAGACCTAAATCTTGACCAATTTCATCAAGACTTCTTCCATCACCTTTGAATGAAGCATTATTATCCAGAAGGTCAAATAATTCTTCCAGCCACTGTAGTCAGCTGTTGATCGAACTAAACTAAAAACAGTCTTTAGTCGAAATTTTCACTTTTGACACAAACATTATGTTAAAATAGTCCAATTAAATTATAAATAATTTTGATGTGAAACTCAAAATTATACATCGGCCTGTAAATGAATGTCTACTCAGAACATGCATTTATAGGCTGACAGTATGATTTTCTTTTTCGGTAGGATTAGGTATCAATAGCTAGCGTTGTGATATCATGTTGAATCTTCTCTTCTTTTACTTTTTTTATATGATGAAACTTATTACAATATTTTATGTCATAGTTTGCGTATGTGTCGTTTTATTTCGATCTTAGGCATTCCAGTGACAAAGGAGATACATATATCTTTTTAAGACGTCTGAGCAAAGAAAGTAATACCTAATTTTTTTTTGTATTCATGAATGAAACACAATGACCATTCATAATTTCTGCTTACAAATAAAATATTTCTTTTCAGTGCAAATCAAGCTGTATCAGTGCATATGAGAAGTTAAAGATTTCATTAAAAAAGCTATAGTGATCATCCAATTACTACGTTGAGATATAGAGCTGTTGTTCACTAAATGAAAAAATATTGAACATACGTAAAGTAGTTGATTTAAGTTCATTTAACTGTTGCTTTAACACATTATAATCCTTTTCCACTCTGCAGCTTGATTTTTTTCATGTAAATATAATCTCTTCAATTCTCTATACTCAAGAGAACCTTCAACAGAAGTAGATATTGAAAGTTTATCAGAAGGTTATTAGAACAACAGGTTTTCGTCAAGGGCCAAGAACCTTCGAAACAGACGGAAATTCTGTGGGATTTCGCTGGAAAAGCATCTGTTTCGAAGGTTCTTGACCCTTGACGAAAACCTGTTTTTCTAATAGCCCACAAGTACATGCGAAATATATGTCATCCCACGTCCTGCAATCCCGTAGAATGGTGCAGCACGTACTCAAACTCTGAAAAACAAGGAAAATCGCCTCCAAAAGTTCTTGTTTTCTAGCATTAAATGTTTTCTAATCTCAATTTTAACCACGGCAACGGATAGAGTTTGAAAAGACTGGCGAATGTATATCATGTTGTCTTGTGTTGATATGCTTTTATGGAGAAAAAATGATTTACAAAAAAGGCCTACTTTTCGGAAAAAACGAGATTTTTAAATATTTTCCTGAGAATGTGGTCAACATTTTGGAAGTTTTTCTCCGCTAGTGATTTTGTAGCTCTGTACATACAGAATCTAATCCAACGGTACCAGCTCATGAAAATGTTTCACTAGAAAATGGTGAAAATGATCACAAACGGACTGTTCTGCTGGGAAACGGGATTTCCACAGGTCTAAAAGGCCATCATACCGTTGTTTTAAAATTTTTTAAACGTGATATTCGGCGTCAGGAGCTCGAGTTGTACTAGTCCTCTTACTCTCGAACACTTTGGACGTGATCGATGTAAACGTGGTACGTTCTCGAAAGAATCACCCTATAGTAAAAGATATCGTGTAAACGTCTAGAACAAGCAGGTGTGAAAAAGACCCAAGTCTTGCAAGAAACCCGAAAATTCCAGTTACCGTGAAAAGTGAGCGTTTTCACGTCGCATTCTTTTTTTCGTTACTGACCCACAATCGGGACCTAGACTGACATCCGAACACGTCCGAAAATTTTTACGCGTTTGCACGCGTTTTTTTATTTTTTTGTCTGCTTGGGTAACGTCATTTACGTAAACGGTTGACTAGCTATTCAAAAAGACAGAAATTTACATCTCGAAGTTTTAGGGTGGTGTAGAATTTGCATTTGCTTGAAACTGGCAATGATCGAGGACAGAAAGGAGGTTCAAATCTGGACAAATAAAGAACCCAAGAAATCTAAATACTAACTTTATGACATCTCAAAATAATAAATACGACAGCAGCCGTACATATCGTACTTTTCTCCTTACCAAATGCTATCGTAAAAGTAAGAACTTAGGATGGAATGATATTTGTTGGCTCACTCTCTCGCTGTTTCTCGCAAAAAAAGGGGACTGTTAGCCAAACAAGCCGTAAAACCAATCTAGCATTCTGTGAATGAGACGGTATAGCTTGGCCCAATCCTCTGTTGATCAAACAGGACCAAACTGAGACTTGCTACATCCTGCAAGCCGCCAACGGCAAAGCAATCTTACACCGAGGAAACTTACAATTGTGATGATAAACATCAACCCATTTGGTGCATGCCTCACTTTGGTGCATTTGTATTTGAAGAGCTTGCACAGACAATATTTTTTGACTGAGCCTACATAATGGGAAAAGGTAAAAACGGTATTCATCTTCACAGTACGTTAAAAAAGAGCAAATGGCAGTGCAGACAACGTGCATTATTTTCATGCATGTACTTGACGTCCGCATGCCCCGGCTATTTCTATATATTCACATTGAAAAAATGCTAAATCAATATTTCGAATTTCATTGGTTCATATATTCTGTGTTTCTCAGCACAGCGGTTTCTGCTAAAATTTATTTATTTAAAATGTATTATGTATATGTATTAAATTTATGTATTTAAATTTATTCTACTCATGCACATGAATCCAGAAAGTCAAGCGCATGACATCTGAAAAAAATGCGTTTTGCATCAGTAAGAACTGTCTTCACGCCATGAGATTCTTACTCAAGAAATTCAAGTGCTTGAGAAAAAAAGCTTCGCTACAGCACAGTAAGAAGGGCATTCGTATTTATCCGTTTCTTTCGATCGTTCGTCGTCTTCATTCTCTTACTGTTATCACCTCATTTTGTAGTTTAATTGTAGTGTAATTTACATTCAATGCCTTCTTTTTCTTTACTATAAGATTATACATGACCCAAAGTGTGTTTGATATTTGCAAAAAGACATAAGACTAGATAAATAACATTTATAGCTTTCTTCCCTAAAAACAAGGTTATTTTTTCGTGAATGTCTTAGCCGTAGTCTTCTTTCACTTTGCTAACCATTTGTAATGATTTGGCTAGAGAGAATAAAACCAAGGAATCATTGACAATAACCTCTTAGAGCTTGACAAAAGTGAGCTCGTTAAAGACGAAGTTTTTACGTGGTGTAAACAAAGAAAAAATTGTTGAACTATTTCCTTTCTGACGCCTTTTATCCTTCAGGAATTGTTCTGTCAGTTTACTGGACTTTTTCTTCTACATTTCGTAGGCTCGCGATTCTGAAATCGATATATTTTAAGTTACTTATTGTGTCCGAAAAGTAATTGTATTGCCTGAAAGCCTTTTCTGAACGAGTGATGCGGCTAAGGTGTTCAAACACGAATTCGCAGATTGCGCTTTCTCGTGCGAATTGTACTTCGAGCAGTGTGTAAAGATATCAAATCTGCGAAGTGTATCGAGGAGCGAGTTGCATTTAGAAACTATTCAACGTCTTTTTCTGTCTCAACAATCTGCATTTCCGAAGTGATGGCGAATTGTACATTGTTGAAAACATGCTCATCAATGTACAGACACGAATTCGGCAAAACTCGCTGACCTGTTTAGATATCAATTCAACAATGGTGCCAATGTGCAGTTTTGCACATCGTCGCTACTGCTAGCCTCCACAGATTTTATTCGAAAGAATAAAATCACACAAAACGTCAAAACAAAAAAACTGCCTCGGTGTGTACAAACAGACACTCTATATAGATGAAGAAAGAATGTTGACTCAAGAAGATC